CTATTTTATTCCGTTGGTCTATATATCTATCTTTATGCCAAAACCATCACACTGTTTTGATTAATGTAGCTTTATAGTAAATTTTGAAATCAAGAAGTGTGTATCCTCCAGTTTTGTTCTTTTTCAAGATTGTTTTGGCTATTCAGGCTCCCTGGAGATTCCATATGAATCTTAGAATGGATTATTTTTTAATTCCTACAAAAAAAACTTCATGGGGATTTTGATAGTAATTGCATTCTATCTGTAGATCATGTTGGGTAGTACTGACATTTTAACAATAATAAGTATTCCAGTCCATAAACATGGAATATATTCCCATTTATTTATGTCTTAATTTCTTTCAGCAATGTTTTATAGTTTTCATTGTACAAGTCTTTTACCTCTTTGGTTAATTCCTAAGGAGTTTATTCTTTTTGATGCTATTGGTATTTGTTTTTGTAATTGTTTTTGTAATTTCCTTTTCAAATTATTCATTGTGTATAGAGATGAAACTGATTTTTTCTTTAAATATTGCTGAATTTTATTTGCAAATATTTTATTAAGCATTTTTGTATTAACATTTATGAGAGTTAACGGATTGTAGGATTCTGTACTATTAGTGTTCTAATACATTTGACGAGTTTTAGTATCAGGGTAATGCTACCTTCATCAAATAAGTTGGGAATAAATTTTTTTAAATCTATTTTCTGAAAAAAACTTGGTTAAGATTCCAAACATTTTTTTGAGATGAAACTGATTCTTGTGTGTTGACTACGTTGCTGAATTCATTTATTCTACTACTTTGCTGAATTCATTTATTAGTTCTAACTACTTTTTGTGGAGTCTTTAGGACTTTCTATACCATCATACCATCTGCAAACAAATAATTTTACTTCTTCCTTTCCAATCTGGATGGTTTTTATTTCTTTTCCTTGCCTAATTGCTCAGGATAGAACTTCCAGCACTATGTTGAATACAAGTAGTTAAAGTGGGCATCCTCACCTTCTTCCTGATCTTAGAGGAAAAGCTTTCAGTCTTTCACCATTGAATATGATGTTTGTTGTGGATTTTTCACACATGGCTTTTATTGGGTGGGCCAAAAATTGCCTTCAGTTTTTTAAGTAAAAATAAAAGACACATTTTTCATTTTCACCAAGAATTTTATTGAACAACATATTCACCCTTTTGTTCCACTACCTTCTGCCATTTTTCAGGCAACTTCATAATTCCATCTTCCCAAAACCTTTTATCTTTTTGAGCAAAGAACTGTTCCAGGTGCCTTTTACAGTCTTCCAGGGAATTAAGATTTTTTCCATTAAGAAAATTTTGTAAAGACCTAAATAAATGGAAATCCTAAGGTGCAATGTCTGGTGAATACAGTGGATGAATCAGAATTTCCCAGCCAAGCTGTAACAGTTTTTGCCTGGTCATCAAAGAAATATGCGGTCTTGTGTTACCCTGATGGAAGATTATGTTTTCTGTTGACAAACCCTGTATGCTTTTCATCGAGTGCCACTTTCAGTTGGTCTAATTGAGAGCAGTACTTGTTGGAATTAATAATTTGGTTTTCAGAAGGAGCTCATAAAAGAGGACTCCCTTCCAATTCCACCATATACACAACATCACCTTCTTTGGATGAAGACCAGCCTTTGGTGTGGTTGGTGGTGGTTCATTTCGCTTGCCCCACAACCTCTTCCATTCCACATTGTTGTACAGTATCCACTTTTCATCTCCCATCACACTTTGTTTTAAAAACGCAACGCTTTCCTTTCGTTTCAGTAGAGAACCGCATGTGGAAATATGGTCAAGAAGGTTTTTTTCGCTTAATGTGAAACACAAACATCAAAGTGATTCACATAACCAAGATGGTGCAAATGATTTTCAACACTTGATTTGGATATTTTGAGTATGTCAGCTATCTCCCACATGGTATAAAGCTGATTGTTCTCAGTTAATGTCTCAATTTGATCGCTATCAACTTCAAGGGGTCTACCCAACCATGGAGCATCGTCCAGCGAGAAACCTCCAGCACGAAATTTCACAAACCACTTTTGACATGTTTGATCAGTCACAGCACCTTCTCCGTACACTGCACAAACCTTTTTGTATGTTTCAGTTGCATTTTTACCTTTCTTGAAATAATAAAGCATAATATGTCGAAAATATTTTCTTCCATCTTCAATATTAAAATGGCTACACAAAAATTCACCAATATTTATGTCTTTTTTTAAATGCACACTGATATTATAGCTGTCACACACAATCTAACAAATTGTTTTGAATGAAGCTAAAGACCACTAAGTGCTACTGGAGCCGTCTTACGGGAAAAAAAGAAACAGAACGAACCTTTTGGCCCACTCAATATTATGTTGAGGTAGTTTCCTTCTATTCCTATTTTGTTGAGTGTTTTTATCATGAAAAGGTGTTGAATTTTCTCAAATGCTTTTGCTGCATAAATTGAGATGATTGTGTGGAGTTTTTTTCCCCCTTCATTTTGTTGATGTGGTGTATTACATTAATTGATTTTTGTATGTTGTACCACCCTTGCATTCCAGGAATAAATCCCAGTTGGTCATGGTGCATAATCCTTTTAAATATGCTGCTGAATTCTGTTTGCTAGTAATTTGCTGAAGATTTTTGCATCGATGTTTATAAGGTATATTGGCATTTAGTTTTCTTGTAGTATCTTTGTCTATTTTTGGTGTCAGGGTTATGCTTATCTGACAGAATGAGTTAGGAAGTGTCCTCTCCTGTTCAATTTTTTGGAAACATTTGAGAGGGATTGGTATTAATTCTTTTTTAAATGTTTGGTAGAATTTACCAGTGACGCTGTCAGGACCAGGACTTTTCTTTATTGGGAGATTTTTTATTACTGACTCAATCCCCTTACTACCTACATGTCTATTCAGATTTTCTATTTCACTGTGATTTAATCATTTCATCTAGGCTATCCAATTTTTTTTGCATACAATCATTCCTAGTACTCTCTTATACTTTTTTATTTCTGTAGAATCAGCAGTGATACCTCCACTTTCATTTCTGAGTTTAGTAACTTGAGTCATCTTTTACTTAGTCCATCTAGCTAAAGGCTTGTTCATTTTGCTGATCTTTTCAAAGTACCAACTTTTGGTTTCATTGATTTCTATTCACTATTCTGTTTATCTCTGCTCTAATCTTTATTACTTCTATCCTTTTGTTAACTTTGGGTTTAACTTTTGGATTTAATAAAATAAGCATTTATTAAAGGTAATAATATTTTTTCAGGTTACCATGTGCCAAGCTTTATGCTAACTACTTTACATATATTACCTAATGGAACATAACAACACTATAAGCACCATTCTACCTGCATTTTACAAAGGAAACTGAGGCTTAGATCAAGCGATTTCCCCAAAGTCACACAGCTGATAAATGTCAGAAGCCAAATGATTCCAAGAGTCTCTGATTTCCAAGTCCACGGCCGTCACCTTGGGTGACTCTAGACAGAGACATCTCGCCTGAAGAGCTTTGGGGAGGACAAAGGGGGCCGTTGCTGATATCCATCCTGGTTCTGAGGCCTCATATCATCTGGTAGCAGCAAAATGTGACTCAAATTGTACAATTAATTCAGACTTTGATTGCAAGAGGTGAAATAAATTAAATGAGACACGAAAGAGGCAGGAAATCTGCACATCAGAGAATGAGCAAGACTATGGACAGAGGTAATCAATAAACACTGCTCCAATCAATCAATGAATGCACATGACTTGCAGTGGACTTTTAGGTATGGGGCACAGCATGTAGTTATTAAACTTGTTCTTTAAAATCTTTCTTTTCAAGAATAAATTATACATTGAACATGTATCAAAATCAGAAAAAAAATCTAATTTTAATTCCCCTTATCCTATAGTTAGTCTTGGTTAACTATCCCATAGTTAGTCTCTGTTAAAAAAAAAAAATCTAATGTGAATTTGATCTAAGAGAAACCACCAGGACACAGTATTATATAAAACTCCAGGAAATAGGAATTGGACTGTACATTAACTTTGCCTTCATTATAATATAGTGTTTACAGGCAGGAGGCAACGTTATAGAAAGGATTAGATATTTCATGAAAATCAACTCCTAAATTTCTTTGAACCCTAAATTTCTTTTAACCCTTCTTTGTTACAAGTTTCTTCTTGGTAAATAACTTACGACCTTCAGATGCTAAAATGGTCATGCTTTGAAATACAAAACTGCTAAATTTACAAAGATTTTTCCCTCCCCAAGTCAGAGTTTAACTGAACATGAAACAGTAATTGGTTAACTCTACATGGTTCCAAATCTGATATGATTTAATTAGCCAAGAGAGGAAAGCACACCTAAATCAAATGCTTTACAAAGAAAGCACATCCCATGGTTGGCTACAGATGACACTCCTCTCAACACATCATGATGAGGCCTATGTCCCCTCCACTTGTATCTGAGCAGATCTTGTCATTGTTTGACCAAGAAAATATTACAGAAGTGATGCCATGACAGTTTCTGGGCCCAGGCCTTAAAGTATTGGCAGTGTCCACTTCCTGTCTCTTAAAACACTCATTCCTAGTTGTCATGCTGTGAGGAAGCCCAAGAAGGCATCCCCATAAGGAGGCCCATGTCAAGAAGAACTGAGGCCTCTGGCTGAACCCCAAGCCAACAGCCAGCACCAACTTGCCAACAGCCATATGAGTGAGCCATGTTGGAAATGAATTCTCCTATCCCACTTGATAAACCCAAGTTGATACTTGAATAGCAGAGACAAGACATTATTGCCAAGTCCTGCCCACACCATACATTTGTGAACAAATGTTCTGTCACCAAGTTTTGGGGTAGTTTGTTATCCAGCAATAGACATTGGACCGCTCCCTAATCACAAACTGATTTTCTCAAGTTGAAAGCCTGAACATACCAACCCCACTGCCTCACAGCTACATGGATCACATCTACCATTAGTATGGTTCAAAAAGGCCATGGACATCAGAAACAGACAAACAAATACACACAGCCAGGCACCTGAAAACTCTTCACTGCTTCTTTATTAGGATGCACCCACAGTACAGAACCTCTCACACACCTGTGAAAGGGGAAGGTTACATTTCCCTTTGGGAGCACCTTCATTTTTGTTTCTGTTACCACTTTGAAGAAAGTAAATCATTTTCAAAGAAAGACATTTTAAAACTCCAAATGTTTTAAGACTCAGCTTGCATTTTGTTGTGTTTGAAAAGGAAGTAGCATATTTTAGCCAGCGCTGGAAGATTGCTTTGTGGCATTTTAACTTTAATGTGGATCAGAAGTCTTCACTGTCTGGTTGAACCAGTCTATAATTTTCATATGCAACTTTTCATATCAAAAATGTTTCATTTTTACCTCTACCCACAAACAGATGCTGTTTAAAAAAAACACACACACAACTAAATTTAAAACCAATCATGAACCACAGCATTTCTAACAGGGAAAATGAACTTTTGCTGCCCTCTCCTGCTAAAACAATGAAATACTAAAATACCAAAAGATTTATGAAGCTAAAGCGAAATCCTCAAACCAAAAGCAATGGACATGTCATTCTCATTATACCTCAATCAAAAATCAGACAACAACCAGAAAATGTATTGGTAATATTTATATTTGAAAGTTCCCCATTGATACATGAGGTCTGGATTACAACTTATATACAATAAGTGATTTCCAAAAAAGTAAAGAAAGAGAAGGGAAGGAAGGAAGGAAAGAAAGGAGGGAGGGAGGGAGGGAGGGAAGGAAGGAGGGAGGAAGGGAGGGTAGAAAAGGAAACCTATATTCATAGACATCATAATATGGGATGTTTATTTCCAAGAGAGATACTACTGCTGCTATCGTGCACAAGAAGCAGCAAAAATTAACACTAGATTAAAATTTGCTCAACTTTCTCTCAAGATGCACAATCCTTTTAGAGTTTCAAAATTAAATACTGAGAAATATAAAATGCATTGCCAATATAGCTACTACAAAAATCCTTTGTGGCTCATTCCTTAACTCCACTCAGAGAAGCAGCTGAGCCAGAATATAAAAATAAAAATATTGATGTGCAAATAAAATATCACTGATCATGTCTGGTGCCACCTTTTTGCTACAGGTGACTGTCACTTTGTTGTAACATTGGTAATAGCATCAAAAGAGAGAATCTCTTCATTTCTTGGGCCAGGTCAGTGCATCCAATTAAAGGGAAGAAAAAACAAAACAGAAGAAACAAAACAAAACAAAACAAAACAAAACAAAAACCTCTGAACATTTAAAAATGCCAATAACATCCATACATCTTCCCTTTCCCACCCCCCGATCCCCACAAAAAAATAAAAAAGCTTTTAAAGCTCTAAATATACTTTTTTTTTTTCTTTCCATAGTGTGATTGAGCCTAGGGCTATACATTTAAGTATAGCAGGTGCAATTATAAGCAATTCCTAGCTCTGCACCCTGGACTGTCCCACGCATAGAAGGAGGTACAAAATAAATTAAACCCTTCCATTTAGGCAAGCAAGCCCAAGATGAAGGAGCATAACCCTGCTTGTGAGTATCCAGAGGCATTGAGGGTATTATCTATGTCTTACTTTTTTTATTTTTTATTTTATAAAAAACAGATGTCAGGGAGAGCAAAATATAATAAAATTTAAAAGGACGAAAACACTGAAGGAAAACAACTAGAGACACCTGCACAACGAGAAAAGGAATGCATGCTTGATTCAAAGTATGAGATGGGTCAATTCACTCACATGGTTGTTCTAGGCCCACAGCCTAAGGCCTCAGCATCCTTCTAAACCACAGGGTTCTGTTTTTGTTTTTTGTTTTTTCTTCCAAAGACACTCTTAATCCTACCCCTGAAACCAATATGGTAGGGATAAGGTTGGAGTGATCATCACTCACTAACTACAATATTTGCTATTTAAAAAATATATTTATATATAGTTCTGGAAATTAGGAAGCAAACAAAATATAACACAAAGATGCATTTGTCACAATTAACTCAAGTTGCAGCAACAGCAGAAATGTGGGAAAGGACAAAGAGAGGGCTGCTGCAAATGCAGCAAGTACGTCCTTAAATATGTCACATAGTGCAACAGTCAGATTACCTCAGTTACTGTGCATCACTGGACACAACGTGACAAATGCCACATTGTCACTTTCAGTTAAAAAAGAAAAGACAGTGTTTCTTCTCAGAAGTTGCCCTATGAATTTTAGACATATATCTATAATAACTTTAAATATGTCTAAAATTTGGCTTTATTCTTCTCAGTTTGGAATGATCAACATATGAAATTGACATCAAGGATATCGGTGTAGCTCTCACCTTAACTCTGAGGACAGGGTAAGGTGCAAAAAAGGATCCTGGTCTTTCTCATCTCAAATGACTGCATTTCATTCTAATGGGCAGAGATACTTCATAAACCTGTGATTGTAATGTCCTCAATCTAAAAAGATGAATTAATGGCAAACAAAAGTTTATATTATCAAAATTAAATGTAAAGCAGAGTTAAAACTAACAGGCTAAAATCAAAGGGCTAAAGGAGATGATTCGTTACAAATTTATTTTTATCTTTAGCATTTGAACTTGCACCTTTGCTCCAGTACTTTTAAAGTAAGTTGTTTTCATCCTTGGCAGCCTCTGCCAGCTTTACATTGAATTCCCATTAACGTTCCTTAAAAAAAAAAAAAAAAAAAAAATCTATTAATTCCATTAAACCATGTTGTGTTTGGTATTGCATATGACTCCTTTACTGCTGTTTCTTTTTCAGAATTAACAATGCCAAATTTTGTTTTTGTTTTACAAAGTTATTGAGATGACAATATCCATAATCAGCTGACTTTTACACACAAACTGTGACCTGATAATCCTGAAACGCTTAGTAGGGGAGAAAGGTCAGTGGCTTCTTTTTTTCCTTTTTTCTTGTAAAGAATAAAACTGCATATTCTACCTTATATTTTAAATGGAAGGAAGAAAATATACAAGCCCATATTGATACCATATTTCTATTAAGAGCAACAACAGTTCATATGTTCCTGTTTGCTACTATCACAATTTAACACATGAACGCAGAATCAGCTCTATACCACGAATACTGCTGGAAGGGATTGTTTAGGATTATCAACTCACTGCTGCCAAGTCCATAACAAGCAAAAGCATCCTGGAAATAAATCCCAAAACACATATCTTTCAGTACATAATAATGCAACTGCTTTAGGTAAGTACATAATGTACACAAGTTTTATCAGCATTTTAACTCCCCAAGATGTAAGCTTCCTCTTTTAAATACAAAGCAGAGAGCCAATAAGATAGATCTATAATACAGCCTTAGATTTTGTTTTTTGTTTTTCTTAAACAATTTGGTCACAATGCACCTTTGATATAAAAGCATTTTTAAACTTTATTATTAACACTCAGGACATTAGGAATTTCCAGATTTTTTCAGTAGCATTTGTAGAACCACTTTTGGTAACAAATACAGTAGTTAGGAACACGCATTCAATTCAGAATGCATAATAATGTTTATCCTGAATCCTTTCTGGCTAAAAACAGGGCTGGCGCTGTGATGGGATATAGAATGAGAATCTACAAAAAACACTGTAATATGTTTCTTTTTTTCCCAGAGGCTTCATCCTCTTTTGCTGGAATACTTTATAAATACATATTAAAAAGTAAGGCAACAACTCCAAACAGTCCAAGCTGTTTGCTCGACTCTATTCCCAATTAGATTCGCAATCCTGGTGATCAATTTCATGGTTGTACTGTTTAGTGTTTGTCTTTCTTATTTCAAAATGGTCCAAAAGGATGTCTTCTGACATTTCTAAAACATCTCTGGTTTGTGTGTTCAATGACGTACATAACTAATACTGGTCAGGTACTGAACCCTATGATGTCCCAGTGCCTGTTTTCAAAGGATTCAAGACATTGATTTGGAGTCACCATAAACTGATGCGTGAATCCAAAATTCCCTTCCCTACTATGTTTATCACCTGCTCTCTTTTACTCCTAATTTTAAAACTAAAGGAGTACCAGGACTACCTGCTTACTGGAAAGATGTTCACTCCAGTGAACAAAACTTTTATCAGGGACCTTTATAATTCACGGCCCCATTCCACGTGGACATTCAACTCATGAAGATGTGCAAAAGGAAAAGATGTCAAATTACAGTCAAGTTACCCAGAGGAGGATGTTATACAAACTTATAAGGAAATGACAGTCTTTTTTTTTCCCTTCCTTTACTATAAATACACTTAACAGCTTAGCAGAAAGACAAGCTAAATTTAAGATTGTTCACATTTGAAAATTGTTTCATACTCTCTGCTAATGATAAATAAGGAACTCCCAATAATGGAATTTTAATATACAAATTTCATTGACAGATCTTTGAAGACTGCTTTTTTTTTTTCTTTTAAAAGAGGGTTAGAACAATGATTATGTTTGCCAAGTTCTGAGAAGTCCATCTACTGTCCAAACTTTGGACTGAAGTCCTTATGTTTTTTTCCTTTACTTAGAGACAGGTATATACAGTGCTGTTGTAATAATGAAACAAATGTGAAATCTACTGTAAAGTTGCACAATACAGAAAACTGCTGTTCCATCTTCTACTACATAAATGTGTGACTCCACAGGTTAGTAAGGTTGTTGTCATTATTTCTGTTAAGTTGGAATTATCCCATCACGTCTAAGACCTCTCTTTAACTCCAGATCCTCCAGTTTTTTCCACAATTCTTCACGCTCCTTTTCTTTCTTTTTCTCACTGGGGAAAAAATAGAATACAAGGTAAACAACTGAGAAAGTTTAAAGAGATTATCCAACAATAACTGCCCCTTTGACATACTTTTCCCCAGACTTTTTAAAAGGTCTCTGAAAAGTTTGGCATTTTTGGTTTTTCTCTCTCTCGCTTTTTGTTTTTTCTTGACACTTATATAGACATAAACTAGAGTAGGAGATGACAAGAATATTTTAATATTTTACATTAATATTCCTTTATACTTAGCTTAATAAAGAAAATTAACTTCAAAATTACCAAGAAAGAAAAATGATGATCATTTTTATGTATCTGTTATCCTAAAACCAATGGTACATTATTCATTTTTACTTTGGGTCTAGTTCAAATCTGATTTTCTTTTTGTCTCCAAATAGTTTCTCAAAAGGGTTGATAGAGATGACACTGATACAAAGAATGTAGTAGGTCAAGAAAATATACTTCCTCTTTATTATTACTCATTTTTCTTACATTATGTATATGTAAACTCTTTAGCAGAATCTTGTTCTTACAAGTATTAAACCACAAAATCCACATTACTAACTTATTTTATACCTATATATATGGACAAATTAAACATTCTTCTGTGATTTCAGTTTTAATTCTGGACAGAACTTTGTTGATATTATTGGGTATTAAATCTGTAACGTTCCAAGCCTTCAAATTTGGCTCAATATCAATTTGACTAATGACTTCCAGAATTTTCACATTTCACTGTTTGGTAAAATTTACCAAAAAACTAGATGTTCAAAATAGGGTAGGGACTCCCCTGGTGGAGCAGTGGTTAAGAATCCGCCTGCCAGTGCAGGGGACACAGGTTCGAGCCCTGGTCCGGGAAGATCCCACATGCCGTGGAGCAACTAAGCCCGAGCGCCACAACTACTGAGCCTGCGCTCTAGAGCCTGCGAGCCACAACTGCTGAAGCCCATGTGCCTAGAGACCGTGCTCTGCAACAAGAGAAGTCACCACAATGAGAAGCCTGCACACCTCAACGAAGAGTAGCTCCCACTCACCGCAACTAGAGAAAGCTGTGCGCAGCAACGAAGACCCAACACAGCCAAAAATAAACAGATAGATAGATAGACAGATAGACAGATAGATAGATAGATAGATAGAGTAAACAAATTTTATTTTGCCAAGGACATTTTTAGATTACCATATTTTTATAAAATAAAGAACGTTAACTTTAACATCAATGAAGTAGTAAGTACACAAATCAGGAACACATGGCTATACTATACATTAAATAATTTCATATTTATTAAAAATAATTCACTACACTGTCCCTAGTTTCTTCATGTTGTGATGAACCAGTAAACAGCAGACCCAGATAACATCTGTGAATCCATAAGTTCAGATAAATCCTGAAAACAGGGGCTCTGCCACCCCAGGCATGGCAGATTATGGTCCTTAAGCAACTTCACTTGGCAAGAATTTAACTCCACTTAGTAAGAATTTCGTACTTCACTACAGTACAATATGTACTCAGGGAAGGAAATCCACATAGGTTAAGTGAAATGTGTATATAATTCCATTGCCTCATATTTTTTATTGTCACCAATTTTTTAAAAGTTATATTGATATCTACAGCAACAGAAATTAATCTTCATCCCCCTGCCAAAATGTCTCTAGAAATATCTAAGGAATTTTATAACCTCATTCCACTAGGGTATTGAGGGAACATTTAATTATATAATATGGTAATTAATATTATCATTTTATAATTATTATTTCGGTCATTTAAGCCTTGTTTACTACAACTAGTTCCAACCAGCTCAAATACAATCTGCACAATAAGAATTTCAGTGAGTGTAATAGTTTTTCAAACAATTACCTATTTGGTAATTTTGATCCTGAAAATTTTTATTTATAGGGTAACAAGGGCAAGATTAGATAATTCTCTAACCATTATGGATACTAGATTCTTAACTGTAAAGCAAGCTGTTTGGTAAATTATCACTTTCGGTTTCTCAGTACAGTCTGGGGATAATATTAGGTCTAAAACACTGATTTAAAAGTAAATTCTACAGATCCTGCTGAGTTTCAATGCATATTGATCTTCCTATTTGGAGGAGGAAGAAGATGGTAAGCAAGGGCTTAGAGACCTTATCCAACTAAAAAACAGCTTAAACATATGTTAGGTTCTTACTGCCCTAATCTGCAGTTTAAATTAAGTGCTGACATGATTAAAACACTCATCTTGTTACTGAAGCATTTCACGAGTCTTTGATCAAGAGTTGCATGGCGTCATCGCAGTCTATCCTGTGAGGCTTTTCTTCCAGATGAACTTCTTGCTGAGTTATCATACATCTTTTACACTGACAACTTTATCTTCAAAAATCCTAAATATTTCTGAGATAGCTTCTGTCACCCCCATACTTTCCCACTTTTTTCTCTCCCTGTAGGTGGCAATTTAAAACTCCACCAAGTTGTCATACTAGAGATAATGCCAAACTCTCTTCCAATTTCAATTTCACAGAGCACTAATGTTGGCATATATATCAATATCTATGAGTGTTACTTACTACACCCACCTGTTTTCAGATTTGTAATACTTAAAAAATTTTGATCTGAACTGAAACAGTTAGTTACTTCTTGCCTTCCGGAAGTGAAATCCTCCTTTCATTTCTTGTCTAACAATACCAAATAAATCTCTTTAGTCTCTTTTTCTCTTCCCACATCCATGGAAAGACCAGTATTTCCAACTATTCAGTACAACTTTCTATTGCTCACTTGACAAAATATTACCCTGGCTTTAAAAAAACCCTTCTGTTATTAAGAAAGTCCACTCACTATAAGTCGCTTTAATTTACCAGATTATCAGAATCAGCTTCATAGTGTCTATTCCTGGTCCCCTTGGTTCATTCTTATCTTTTTCAAGAGTTTGGCCTATTTAGTTTAAATGATAAATGATCAGAAAACAGTTCTGAAATTCAACAGAAATGAATGAATTTAATTCAATCGATTTGAATATTTTAGAAATAAGGTCTTTAATAGTCTTAATGGAATTCTACAGATTTAATCCTTATTCAACTAGGATAATAAAAATGGGTTTTTACTTACCATAAAAGAAAGGATATTATGTACAATGCACTCCTTAATTGTATGTCACAGTATAAAAATGTGTCCTGTATCCCCTTTACTTAAATAACATTTTTTTAAAGATTTTAATTTAAGTTTGGAACATGGAGGGTTACTATAAATTTAATGATTTGCAGCAACTATAAATACTGTATAGTAAATTAAAAGTTCTTTAGGTATGGTACAACATATCCAATAACTGGTATTTATTTCAATGTGGCATAAAAAATCTCAGTCTCTTCTCTCTACCGTTAAACACTCGCCATAGTCGATAATTAAGTCACTTTTCTATACTGCATCCTGGTAATTAAAACAAAAAAATCGGCTTCCCTGGTGGCGCAGTGGTTGAGAGTCCGCCTGCCGATGCAGGGGACACGGGTTTGTGCCCCGGTCCAGGAAGATCCCACATGTCGCGGAGCGGCTGGGCCCGTGAGCCATGGCCGCTGAGCCTGCGCGTCCGGAGCCTGTGCTCCGCAACGGGAGAGGCCACAACAGTGAGAGGCCCGCGTACCAGAAAAAAAAAAAAAAAAATCACTGTGAAGGTCCTTTGTCCCTGCCACCAAACCTTTCCTTTCATTGTTCTTTTTATCTAAAATCCAAGTAACACATTAAAAATTGGGCAAAGATGCAAGGGAACCACAGATAGTTTTGCTCAGGAGGTTCCGCCAGGTCTTGAGTATGAAAACTCTGGAATCCTTGAAGGTCCGTGGTTTTATGATATACACAAAGCTGACATTTTCTTCTGGATGAGAAAAGCCAACCCAGAGGCTCAACTACTAACAAGCTCTCCAGACTTTCCTCAATCTCTCCAAGTATATCAAGCCAGGGTCTGAATATCTGTGTGCCCCCAAAATTCATATGCTGAAATCCTAACCCACAGAGGTGACGGTATTAGTAGGTGGGGCTTTGGGGAAGTGATTAGGTCATGAGGGTGGAGCCCTCATGGATGGGATTAGTGCTCTTATAAAAGAGACCCCACAGAGATCCCTTGTCCTTTCCACCATGTGAAGACATAGTGAGACCAGATATGAACCAGAAAGAGGTCCCTCATCCAACCATGCTGGTGCCACGCTCTTGGACGTCTAGACTCCTCAACTGTGAGCAATACATTTTTGTTCTTTATAAGCTACCCATAAAATACCCATGTGGTCTTTTGTCATGGCAGCCCAAACAGACTAAGACAACATCTTTTGGAAAGTGAACACATTGAACAAGAAATATCAAAATTGAAGAATCATGTAAATGAACTCAACAAAGGCCTACTAAACCAGAGCATTTACGATAAAGAGTTCAACTGGTTTCTGCTCTCCTTTGATCTTAAACATTTCAAGATCTGTATAATACACTCTACCTCCTTGTTCTTTTCACTGCTCTCTAAATCATAAGGAATTTGTTGGGTTTTAGTATAGAAAGTAAGTTCCGGGCCAAAGAGCTAAACAAAAACGGTGCCTCATCTCTCCTGCTGCTGGAGTGAAGTACAAATCAGTTCAGAAATCTAGTTCAGAATGGGAGTGACTCCAGATGGCAAACTACCCTTAAGTGGACCTGAAATACCAGTTATGTGCCAGGCTCTTAACCCTGAGGCAGAAGAGAAACATTATGGAAGGGAAGAAGGAAAGCAGCCTTTTTCAAAATGACACTTTGTTACCCAGTGGCAGACTAATAAAGTCACAGCTAATGATCATGTGAAAATGAATATGGAAATAAATAAAATGTGCTGCTTAGGATTTCAGGTACAATTAGGCAACTTCAGCAAAGAGCAAAAAAAGAACTCAATGGTATTATGCACGGCTGACAAAAAAGCTTTAAAAAGTTACCGCTGACGATCTGACTTGTATGTGGCTGTCAGCTCATCAAACATGGTGCTGTTCATTTCCATAAACGCCTTCAACACGTTGTACACTAATGCCACGATAGCCCTGGAAGCACAGAGAGAAGGGAACGTATTGGTTAGTCCTACATAATGGGATGCTGAATGAAGAGAGCGGATGTACAGCCTTTATCTGAATGAGCTCCTCACACTGCAGTCTCCCTCCCTTTTTAGTTGGAACAACTAGAAATGACCTACAATTCACTTCCACATCAAGAGAGCTACATTCTTTAGGTAAGATATCTTTCTGAGGGGTTGGCAGGATTAGAAAAACAAAATCTAATTTTGCCCTCTTAACTATGGGTACCCAGAATAGACTTGCCTGTGGGCACTTGTTAATTTAATTTAATAAAAAGGCAAGTATAAAAATAAAGCAACTTCACCCTAAGAATGAGCACCTGTGGTAGGACCAACCTTCAAGACCTGAATTTGCATAGAATTTTATTTTTAAAGTGATAATATACATAATTCATCAAAATCAAAGGCTGTTCCCATGGTAACAAATTTTATATATCTATAATTCATATTCAAAGATGATACCAAGCCTCTGTAAGCAGGGCAGTTTAATACGAGTTACGTCTCTAGTTGGGAGTTGCATCAGTCCATCCACTCCTTAGTCCCCTTGCTGACCCAATACACAGGCTGGTAAGGTAACTGGCAAGCTGGTGATGGCTGCTACTAGCTGTGGAATACTAAACAGCTAAAGAGCCAAACGGCTGCCTATGCTTATCAAGGGGAAGAATAAGCTCTTGGCAATGTGAGGACTCGGCCGTGACGGGCTTGGTATATTCAGACTCGAGTCTAAATAACACTGCCCTTTGCAAAACTACACGACATTACTTCCCTTTAGTGTGTTTCGAATACCATTGAAAAAGGCATTGGTAAAAGTTAGGCCATATAATAAACCCTGGGTTTGATGTTTCTAAAACATTTATAAGAAAGTGGACTTGCTGTGTTGCTTCTGCCCTGTGTCCATCAAAAGGGAAACTTATGGGGAACGACCTTCTCAAATAGGATGGGCAGTGATGGAGAAGAGCCAAATACAAGCTACTGAGCAGTTACAGACACTTGCTAGAACCACTCTCTAGGTTCTCAAGAGGCTATCTACATAATGAGATTTGTTTGCTAGCTCTTTATTCTTGTAAGTTTTAGTCATAAAAATTGACAAATGTGAAAAGTAAGAAATATGGTATTTTATAGTTGTATGTAAAACTTTTAGACAAACATACTACGAATATACTAAATTATCTCTAATTTTTAATGCCACATTAAATTTTCTTTCTATTCCACAGAGAAATATGTAAAGCTCTTCAAATACAGAATGCTTTAACTTTCATAAGACTAGAGGATAAACTCCTCTTTGAACATTTTAAAATGTTTTTCCCCCTAGAGAACCCATATAGTGACTGAACTGGTTTTTAAGAAATGGATCTTGTTAAAATGCAAATCAGTTCAGAGCACTTCCCTTCTTACAACTCTTTAGTGTTTCCTTATCATCCAGTGGGTGAAGACTCACGTGGGCACCACTCCACTTTCTAACCCTACCTTCCAGCAACCTCCCCAAATGACCTTGTGCTTCAGCCCTCCCAAATTCACAGGTCTCAGAACACGACAGGTGCTTCTTACCTTTTTGTGCCTTTTTGATGTGATGGGGAGACCCACTATCTGAATGGACTTCTCCACCCCATCCACCTGCCAAATTCTTTTAAGATTCGGTTTGAGCATCATCACCCTAGCAATATCCACAAACTTCTCCTCTTGATCCAGAGCATCTCCAAAATACCTCAGCTACCTTCACAGACAGGTCAAGAAGCCCTCAAGTAAACAGATATCTGAACATAACAGCACTTAAAACACTGTTTTATAAAATATCTGTTTATTTGCGGGTCTCCCCAACCAGTCAGTGAATTTCTAAAATGTAGGGATTTTATCTTTTCACATATTTATCTTCAGCATCAAGCACAACATCTGACGCAGAGCATACATGCAAGACATTTTATTAAGCAAAAGAGAAGGAGGGAGGAAGAGAGGCCAAAGGAGCGGGGAGAGAGAGAAGGAGGGAAGGAGGGATGGAGGGAGGGGGGAGGGAAGGAAGGAAGCAAGGAAGGAAGGGGAGGAGGGAGGGACGGAGGGGGAAAACTGTGGAAACCTACGGATTCCAATGTTCTTTTGAAATCCTATAAAGACTGGAAAACATGATGGGAAGGATGACATTAGAGTTTTCTTCTATCAAACTCATGATGTATTCATTATTCCAATAATAGAGTGCCCTTTCTGCCACCTTTGAGAAAAGAAAAATAAAATGTTAAGAGAGAAAGATAAAACAAAATTATAATCTCTTCAAACAAAAGTATTTTAAGATGATCTTAATATCATTCAATCAAGTATAAAATTAAATGTTGATCACACTTTACATTTTTGTGGGTTTAAAATCTTTCAGAAAGTTCCGAAGTGGTTCATCAATTTGGGTATGAAAAAGAAGTTTTCCTACCTACTTATTTATATTCTCCTTTAACAATGCCCATTTAATCTGATTCCACATTTTCCCTACACAGCTCGCAAGCTCCAGACACCCTCACCCTACTTCTATATGCTACACTGTTTTCCCCATCACTTTAATCCCCTTCTTGGCTCACCTCTTTCATCCCGCACACTGTAGATCAACCACAAGGTGCAGCGCGTGGCTGGCCTTCAGTCAGTAGCTGCTGAAGAAAACCCAGCTGCCCATCCCTGCAGAGCAGGCGCATTTGCTAAGCACCTCCTATGGCCAGGCACTGTGCCCACCCTGCAGGCAGAATGTGTCATCCTTACCACCATCCAAGGAGTGGCAATCACTGTACAGAAGAGGGCACTGAGGTTCAGAGAGGCTGGGAACCTGGCCACTGTCACACTGCTAGTCAATGATAAACTGGGATGTGAGTCTAGTGCCCAGACTCTTTCTGGAGTTCATTTCTGGTCCCTGCCTTTGAACTGGGTAAGCCAGGAGGAAGTCACTCAGTTTAGGACTCAGGGATACTGGCTGTACATACATTCGCTTGCTATCTCAGACCCCTTTTTTCGGACTGCCACATTTATCAACTGACTCTCTGAATTCAGAGGAAGCCCTCAAAAAAAAATCTAAAAAGTAATCTAAAATAACAATAATAATTTCAATAAACCAAAGTCTCAAAAAAATAAAAAATCTAAAAACCTCTAAAAAGAGTAGTTATATGGGGAAAGGGAAAAAAGAGCAGCTTCTTTTATTCATACAGATTAAGAAATTATGTTTTAATTAAATAAATTTAAATTTAACTTAAATGTAATCATTTAATTTAATAAAATGGTACAACCTGTGCCCACCAATAGACTCTGGGAAATTAGAACCTTTCCATTTACATTATTCAATTTGGTTCACAAAAAATTCCTGGGTCTCATAAGGCACTAGACACTCAAGAGTACAAAGAAAATAATTCACTATTATTGAATGTTTACTATATGCCAGGCACTGTGGTAAGTGTTTCACTTACATATTTTCTCATTTAATCCTCACAACCAACACACAGAGTAGGTACCATTATTTCTATTTTGCAAATGAGAAAACTGAGGCTCAGAGGAGATAAGCCATAGCCTCAAGGTCACATGGCTAACAAGTGACAGACTCCTAAGTCCCTGCTTAACCTCTTCACTCTATTGTCCCTATGGAGCTCGTGTGCTGGTAGGGAAAGGGGGTTCCACGATCCCCAATCCAACATGAACTGTGATAGATGCTGTATCAGATCTAGAAATAAAGAGCCAGAGGAAAGAGCAGAAAGAACAATCCAGATGACTCGGGGGAGAGGGAGAGGGGCAGAAATGTACCATAGGCCATAGCATCTAAGCTGGGCTTTGAAGGATGAAGGAAAGAAGCCAAAGGAATTACAGGAAAGGGGGGCAGAGGCACCAACATGGACAATGTGTCTAGAAACATGAGGCATACATGTGGCTGAGGCAGGTAGAGCACAAGGCAAGGAAAGGGCAGGGTGAAGAGGAGGAATAGGCATGAGGCTGTTCTGAAAACAACCCATAGGAGAAATTTTTAAAGAGACCACAAGAGGATGCTAGTAAAGGCAGAGAGACCTAGGCTTTTCCTATATCCAACTATGAGTCTGATATTTACCTGCTACTTAATGCTAATAAGTATCCTAAGCTCTATGTATCTATTTACCAATATGTAAAATCACTTACAGAAAGAAAGTCAGTATCCAGCAAAGCCCTTTAAAAAGGAAAGGCACTGCTTATGCAAAGTGAAAACTAGCATGTCTGACAGCAGGACAGAACCACTACTTTCCTGCGACCCACTGTCTTCCTGCACACACACAGTGCAGTGTCTCTAGCTCAGAGCCTTCTAACCGCAATGCCTCACCTGGGCAAGTAGTGAGCGGCATCTGACTACACAGAGTGACACGCGATAAATGTTTGTTGGATGAACCAATGAACACTCAATTAATGAACAAAGAACTTCTTTACTCTCCTTCTTTCTTTTGTTCTCAGTTTTACTTCTGTCAAGAATTTAAAATTTTTTTCCTTCTGCTATGGACTGAATTGTGTTCCCGCTCCCCTACCTCCATCCCCGTCTCCCCCTCCTGCAGGAAATCCAAATGCTGAAGCCCTAACCCCTAGTGGTGCATTTGGAGATAGGAGTTGATTAAGGTTAAATGAGGTCATATGGGTGGGGCCCTAATACGATAGGCTTGGTGGCCTTATACGGAGAGGAAGAGAGAGATTTCCTTCTCTTTCCTCAAGCATGCAGGAGGGAAAGGCCATGTGAGGACACAGTGAGATGTGCAAGCCAGAAAGAGCCCTCAGAGAAGCATACCACACTGGCACTCGGATCTCAGACTTCCAGTCTACAGAACTATGAGAAATCAATTCCTGTTGTTTAAGCCACACAGTGTGGGGTGTTTTGTTATGGAAGCCTGCTGCAGTCTAAATGTTTGTGTCCCCCCAAAACTCCTATGTTGAGATCCTAACCTCCAAAGACGATGGGATTGGTACCTTTTAAAAGAGGCTCCCAAGAGCTCCCTAGCCCCTTCCACCATGTGAGGATACAGCAAGAAGTCTGCGACCCAGAAGAGAGCCCTCACCCAACGCTGCTGCCACTCTGATCTCAGACTGCCAGCCTCCAGGACTGTGAGAAAAAAGTTCTGTTGTTTATAAGCCACCAGAGTCTGTGGTATTTTGTTAGAGTAGCCCTAAGACACAGCCCTAGCTAATTATGACAGTCTGTCTCCTCTCTAAGCTTCTGAGCTTCATTTAAGGCTTCCTGGTGGTACTCATTTGAGAAGAGAGTCCCACTCTTTGCCCTCCATTACCACAAACACATGATAAAAACTGAAAAATAAGGTAAACAATCCAGATATTTGAGCACCACAGGCCATGTGTAATATGTAAAACATGTACATAGTGTCCCGCATTTTAAAAAAAATCTAGACGTGTCATATCATCTGAAGGTAATGGTTCATGTAATGGTTTCTACTCTTTTTTTGTTTTTTTTGGCTTTGTGGTACAATCGCAAAGTTGTCATAAGATCACTGACTTGACATACTAAGATGTCTTTAGGTCAAAAATTAAAACAACAACTACAGCCAGTGTCTCTAACTATGCAGGATAATGACAGCTCAGAGAAAAGTCCACCATCAAGTCCCCCATGTTAGCAATGGGGTTCTGTGCTGCCAAATACAATCTGAACAGTCTCTTCAAATCAACAGGCAGTATATAAAGAGTCAGTTCTCTAGGTCTGTGACTTGGACCTTTGGTGAGACAGCCAAAGTATAAAACCTAACGTGTTTCACCCAAGATCACCTTCTTCTCTCCAGTGTGGGTCCCACAGCACTGCTAAAATGTCCCCAGTCGAGAAAAGGGTTGCCCAGGCTCACTCTCCCTGTGTTCTCCCAGAGCGGCCACAAGGAGGCAGAGTGGTGCCACAGGAAGGGCACGGGCTTTCACCAGGAGCGACGCCTACGTGACTCCCCACTCCCTATTAACTGGGGAACTTGAGCAGATCATTCTCTGAGCCTCATTTTTCTCATCTAGAAAGTGGGGGGAAAGCCTCAGAGGATAATTTGAAGTTTAGGAGTAACGTATGTAAAACATCTAGCACAGTATAGAATGTCAGCATTCCCTTTTCCTTTTAAGCTTTATTCAGCATTCTCTCTTACACACTATAGGAGCCCTACCAGTCCACCTCTTATTCAGCCCTTTTACTTGAGACATGTTATTTTACCACTTTGAGGGTCAGTGTTTACATCTGTAAAAATCATAATGCCCTCCTTGCAGAGTGGTCATGAGAATTCAAGTTACTGGACAGAAAGCACCATCACAGCGGCTGTCATGTAACAAGTGTTCAAGATGAAGGTGGTGATTACCAAAAGTATTGTTATCGTGTGAAAAATCAGCCAATAAAAACAACAGGTAGGGCTTCCCTGGTGGCGCAGTGGTTGAGAGTCCGCCTGCCGATGCAGGGGACACAGGTTCGTGCCCTGGTCCGGGAGGATCCCACATGCCGTGGAGCGGCTGGTCCCGTGAGCCATGGTCGCTGAGCCTGCGCGTCCGGAGCCTGTGCTCCGCAACGGGAGAGGCCGCAACAGTGAGAGGCCCGCGTACCGCAAAAAAAAATAAATAAATAAAACAAAAACCCCCCACAACAACAGGTAGTTAGTGTCCATTACATTTCTTTCAATACCAATGAAACTTTACCAAAATAATACATGTTTTATAAGCCACCCTGGCTCACGCCCTCTTATTACTAACCTGAAAATGGGGGCTAGAGACACACTTGGCAATTTGTTTAAACAAAGGTTCTTGGATTTTAACAAACTGTGAAGGTTCAATCACATCCAATATTTCTTCCAGCTCCCCAAGGAACATAACCTGGAAGTACAGGCAAAACACAAAGTGTCAGGTGCCTGATTAAAAAATTCATATGGACAAAGAGGAATAATGAGGGTTTTGCACAGTTTTAATATAATGAAAATTTATACATAAAACCAAACATGAACAAAACAAATCAGGGTTTAACTTATGTTAGATGTTCATTTCACAAGGAATTCACCAGAGAGTACTTGTTAAGAACAAATTCCCTACGGCATTGAAAATGTGATTCTATTTACTTTGGAAAAAATACTCTATGTGCTACATCTATTATACAGAATGAGGGGTACTTACACACTGCAGCAGGGCCCTGGGAAACGGGACTATCCCTTTGGGGCTCTCCTCCCCTCCTCCATATTTTTAAAACAGTGGGCAAGTGGCCCTCCGGCACGATGGACAAAGCTCACAGCGGCAGCACCCGCAGATATTTGCCAAACATTTACAGCCCCTGCTATGTGCTAGGCGCTCCTCTAAGAGACACCAGTTCGCAGAACACACAGAGTCAGAGAGACAGACGAGGAGGTTCAGCCACACACACACGCCACTTTAAACCCCTCAGCACACACGGACCCAATCTCCACACTTACACACATACACATATGAACACACTCACTCGCTGCAGAGCACAATGAATCTTGTGACCTCAGTACCATCTGCCTCCAAAACCACAGCTTTTAGATCACAAAATGGAGTCAAATCAATAGTAGGGTCACTCGTTTCCAATATAATGGAAAACTGACAGAGAAGTTAAAACCACTTTCCTATTAGGCATGAAGAAATAACTGCCTAGAAAAAAAATTAAGCCTGCAATTAAAGTACAAAACATGACGTTTTTGTATCTTGAGATGCATCTGGGTAGCAATGCATAGTTTAATCTTACCTAACAGGTATTAAGAAATTAGATGATTTTCTGAAAATGTATAAAGTAGGGTTTTGGAGAATTGTAGCTGATTTGAGAAGGAGGGTGTTTCTGTTAAAAGCGAAATATAGTCGAGCCTTGCCATTTGTTGAGAAACATTCTGAAGTTCTTCCAAAATACTCTCCAAATGAAAAACTAACAGCTGACCTTTGTTTGTGGGCCATTTTCCATATGGTTTCTAACCTTTCAGAAAAGTGGGTGCAGATCTGGTGCCCAGCTAGGCTCACCGCGAGGCTAAGAGCTTCACTTCCTCCACAGAAACCTCACACAGCACATGCTCACTTAGGTCTTGGCAAAAGTACAAATGATTGTAGATCAGAGATTTCCAGGGCCACTTGTGAACAGCTGAAACTAAAGGTCTGTAATATATTTTAAGATTGTGCATAGTGAGATCCCACCTACATGATGCTTTAAAGTAGGTACTGGGGCAGCTTGCTGTAGCATCTATCAACAGTGACAGGAAAACCTTCATATTATGTAGGTGGTCACTAGGAAGGGGACATCAGTAGAGCTAGACAGTTGGACACGTGACTGGGGTCTGCCTTGGGCTTACCCAGGGCTGAGCAGCCCAGGGTAAAAGCCCAGGGTTCAGGCATCAGGGAGGCAGGTTGTGGCCTAGTCACCTGTGCTTAGCATACCCAGGTAGGCTACTTAACCTCTAAATAGCAGTTTCATAACTAGTAAAATGAGAATATTTACAGTCCTGCCTTGCTGAGTCACAATAAGGATTAGAGGAGATAATGCATTTTTACACACGCTTATTATCTCAGTGCTCTAGTAAGCTATTAACACACTGACATTGAGCACTTACCTCTTTTTGACTACATGTTTTGGGCCAAAATTTCATTAATCCCCTAATAACCTAAAATGAAAAGGAGAAAAACAAATTGCAGTTAATTTTCTTCTATACACCATGAAAAGTGGTCTTTCTGAAGTTTTTTGAAATTATGGGAAAAATACTTACTGGTTCTGTGAGTGAAGGATCTTTCTCCAGAAACTGTACTATGCAATATGCCAGCTGGAGAAACAAACAGACAAAAGACAAAATTGGAAATTCTATATACTCAGGGCTCAGAGATGTATTATTAAAAAGCCCTAAAAAGTTTCCAGAGTCTGGTTTTAATAACTTCACATTCAATTCATTTTTAAAATAAAATATATATAAAGCAAAATATGAAGCTACTTTTTCAAGCCAAAGATTGACACTAACAAGGCTCCAGGGAAATTTTTTTAAAAAGAATATTGGGACATGAAATATTCAGCTAATGAAAAGCAGAGGTGAAACAGCACATCCAGTATATTCTGAAAGTATCTCATCTACATATAGTTTGAGCTACATCTCATGGGCTTCTTTTCTCTCTGCTGGAACATCAACAGTACTGGGGTTTACTGTGGTTCCAGAAGAGTCCTATATGAGAAGCAGGCACTTATTAAAAACATTGCTGGTGGCATGAAATGGCACGCGCAAACTGAAGCAGCTTCATGGAAAGATAAAAGGTTGTACCTGCCACAGGTAGAGCCCTGGACAAACACGAAGAGTTCTACATCTGATGCTAACTCATCGAGGTAAGAATTTGTAAATGATCATGAAGTGTGATATCCTATTTCAAACACTAGAGACAAGATCTGCAAAAGGGCTCGTAAAGATTCTTGGACAAGAAATCCACCCTTGCGAAACAACATTTTGATGGTGTTCTAAATTAGAAGCATATGGACTAATTTTTCCTCGAAACACAGCATTTCACATTTAAAGAGGAACACCACTCTGAAAAATGTGTTACATTTTTATGCAAACTCAAAACATTCCCATTGCAAGGAGGAGGGCGCCAGAGGTTTGAACTGGTAAAACTAAAATGCCACTAGATCACTTATCTACCTCCTACTGACATGCTTACCATGCAAGGCAGTTTTAGCAGGGAAATTAGAGTGGGGACTAGACAGGGTGTGCTTTTTAAAGTAATGGAGGCTAAAAATAAAAGTAAGTGAAAATACTGATTGATTTGTTTACTTGTGAGAGTGTTATTTGTATATAGAAAGTGAGAAAGAAATGGTGGATGAACTAGAAGAGGGGGCAAAGGGCAAGGATAGACTAATGCAAAATGAGGATGAGCTAAAAGATTCAAGAACATCCCAAAATGATTACACATGTCCAAAGGTACAAATCTGAAAAGCCCATTACATTTTATTATATGCAACCTGTTCAGTATATAATTGTGTGAACTTGGGCAAGTATCTAAGTTCTCTCTGTAAAATGATATGATTAAACAAATGCTTCTCCCACTTGAAAAATATTCCCATGATACTCCTATACATAGGAAAATATATACACATTTTTATTTGCCTTGGGGAATATTTTAAACTTTAACAAGCGTTTTGTTTGTGTAAATTAAGTAAATAACAATATCAATGAAACACTGGGTTTACAAACTTTATTTTGCTTCCAAAAGTAGTTGTACAAAATTCTACCTGGGCATGGAAGAGTGATAAGCTCCTCACAGTGTGTAAAGGGATCAACACTTTCACCAGAAACTGTTTGTGTTCTGCCTTAAGAGGTAAAGCAAAGCCATTGATAATACTAGGAAAAAGAAAAGAGACATGAATTAGCAATGTTACCACAACAAGCTAAATTGAGACACTGTTCCTGTGAGATTAGGTTAAATCTTAATCAGTTTATGTTTAGTCCAGAACAACCCAAAACCCACCCCAGTGGCATTCAAGACTTCTTAGTTGCTTTAAAGAATATCTTTAAGTAGGAAGGAAATTTAAAAGAAGGAAATTTGCTTCTGATCTCCCAGCAAAGGCTCCTGAGATCTCACACCTAGTTGGATAGTTCCCAAAAGCTTTTGTATCAACAACTCTTTATTTTTCCTTCCCTCTTTTCCTTCCCCAAATAATCGCCTGCCTTGCTCACTCATGACCCTTCCCATTTCCAGACATCATCCCTTCCTGTTCCTGAAATTGGCCCAGGCCAAGATTATCCCTGGGTAAAGAGCCCAACTATGGGAAGTCCCAGAGAGAACCGTGTGACTCCACCTTCCCTCTCTCCTCATATTAGGAGGAGAGACTAAGTAATCACATCGCCCAGTTACATTAGCTCTCTTGTGTGTAGAAACCCACACAACAGCTGTCTCTTTCCAATTCATTCCACTACTCCAGGCAGCAGCTGTTCAAGAACTTGACTTGGGTACATGGACTCTTTGAAAATGGCAATCTTTCTAACTTATTATAAACTTACTTTCAAAAATTATCGCAGAGGAGACGTAGCCTAGAAACAAAACTGACAAGAATAAGATGTAACTGGCCTGACTGCAATTAGATGAATAATGAATAAACTGTTAGCTCTTTCAGTCATTCCAAAAAAATAGCAATTCATAATTATGGAACAAGGGAAACACAAAACTGTGTCTTGTAGAGTCAGCTGGGAAACATGCTATAAGCACAGATGAGACCCGACGTACATACAAGCAAGGGATTTGGGGTAGCATTTCCCTGTGCCACCTGAACCTGTCACAACGACATTCACCTGAGATTAGCAATGAGATAAAAATGTGCTTACCTTCCTAATATTTCCAGCAGTTCAGCTACACCATTGAAGTGTTCTGTTTCATAAACAAACCTAAAAAGAGACAGAAAAGAAGAGGGGAGGGGAGGGGAGGAGAGGAGATAAAAGAAAAAGAAAAAAGAGAAAAAGTCAGTACACTATGGTCAAATATTTGAGGTTTATTTAATACTTCTATAAAACCACCAACTTTGCTTCTCCTTCTCCCCCCACCCTCCACTTACCTTAGAAAAATATTGTTAATCTGTTTTCGGATAAATGCTCTAAGACCAAGAAACTTGCCATAAATTCTGTGTAAGACTGTTTTTAAGTAGTCCCGTTCCCGTGGGTCTTCGCTGTCAAACAGCTCCAAAAGCTGTTGTAAATAAAAGACAGTGTCGCTGTCAAAAGCAGTTTCAGAAAAGGATTTGGGAATTCTGCCACTCACTTAAAATCCCTTCCTTCCTTCCTTCCTTCCTTCCTTCCTCCCTCCCTCTCTTCCTTCCTTCCTTTCTCCCTCCCTCCCTCCCTTCCTTCCTCAAAAAATTATTGAAAATCTATTATGTGGCAGGCACAGTGCTAGTCTTTGGGAATACAGTGATAAATAAGTCAGACAAGGGTAGCTTATACTGTAGAGAAGATATACACAATAATAACAATCATAACAATAATCATAATAATAGGTAACACATATACAGCACTTAGTATGATCATCAGGCAATTTTCTAAGCAATCTGCTTATATTAATACTCCCTATGAGGTAGTCTTACTCCCATTTTTCAGAAGAGGAAATTGGGGCAGAGAGATGCTAAGTAACTTGCGCATGGTCTCAAGCAGTAGAGCTGGGATTTGAACCCAAGCAGTTGAGACCCTAGAGTCCATTACCTCAATCACCGCAATTCTATACAATAAGCCATCTACTGAGCTTATGTTCCAAATATATAGTTAAGCTTTCAGCTCTGCCAGAGCATTCAAGTAAATTTAGATAACCCACACCAAAGCAAGCATCAGAGTTCCCAACAATACTGGCAATGTTCTCTTTCTAGATCCTGGCTCTTATTACATGGGTGTGTTCACCACTGAGGTAAACACTTACGATTTCCATATGTACGTTATACATGAATAACATTATTTTTAAGTTCCCAATCATTTGTAATCTAAAGGCAATAACTGAATCCTGATAAGATCCCATCTTATCAGAATTGAAAACATATGTCAACACAAAAACTTGTACATGAATGTTCACTGCAGCATGATTCATAACAGCCAAAAAGTGGAAATAACCCCAACGTCAACTGCTGCAAAGTGTGCTTGCAGTGGAATATTATTCAGCCATAAAAAGGAATGAAGTAGAAAATATGTTACCACATGGATGAACCTCTCAAACATCATGCCAAGTGAAAGAAGCCAGACACAAAAAGGCCACATATTGTATGATTCCATTTATGTGAAATGTCCAGAATAGGCAAATCCACAGAGACAGAGAGCAGAACGAGGAGTGGCTGCTAATGGGTAGGCTGTGTCTTTGGGAAATGATAAAAAGTGCTCTGCAATCATATAACAGTGATGGTTACACAACTCTGTGGAATATATTAAAAAACATCAAATTGTAAACTTTAAAAGGCTGAATTCTATGGTATATGAATTATATCTCAATAAGGCTGCCTTTTTTTTTTTTTTTTTTTTTAAACAATAGTGGGCAGGTTCCTCTAGCTGAAGAACAAACTTGGAGACTGGTCTAAATTTTACTGAGTTCTTCATACCTTCATTATCATTGCAATAAAACAAAACTCATAGTTCTAATGTTGACTTCATAGCAAAACATTTCAAGAGCATATAGAGAGCATACAAATGAAGAGACTACCCTAATTACCAAAAAGAGCTATCAGGACAGACTAAAGCATGATTTCAAGTGATTAAGACTGAGGTTGAGACCGACAGCAGAAGAAGGCAGTGGGCAGTAATCAAATAAATCATCTACTTTGGTGCTTTTCTTTGAACAAAAGACAGAGTTACAGACAAAAAAAAAAAAAATCCCTTTACATAATGGCAGAAAGCACAAACTGAAGAATAGTCTTCAAAACTGGGCAGTGAGACAGACAAAATTTTTGACTGTACAATGTCATGCATCCATTCAAACAATGACTGTTTCAAATGAGTATGTCGCCAGTCACTGGGCAAGGTGTCAGGGATACAATGATGAGCAACACTGCTTTTACAGAGCCTAACGCAATGAGGGATACAGGGAAATAAGCAACATGGTAAGTGGCTCAGGATACTATATAAATACATAGCAGACACATCTACTCTATTTGGGAGAAGTGGAGTGATCAGGGAAGGCTGCTATAGGAAGTGACATCCATGAAGAAATTAGGAGTTAGAGGTGAAGGAAGTGTTCATGGCAGATTCAATAACACATACCTTCACCAGCAGCCTATCTAAACAGAAGATGTGGTTAAAATACCTGCCATCTCTCTGCCTACTTTGTCATGCAATCAATCAACCAGTCAATCAGTCAATCTCTGCACGCACCAGGGATTATCCTCTTTGCTGCGCGCATGCACGCGTGCACACACACACGAACAAACTTGGAGTCCACAGGAAAGCAATGAGCAAGTCAACTACACATTTCCACAAGAAACGGTCTAAGAAAGAAAGATGTGAACGCTATGGGCAAAAAAGGCCCCACCGGCTCAGTATCTCTTATCTAATGCCTGCATAAAATGACAGAAGATTTCTAACCTACTCATTCCATTCCTTGTTAATAGAAATAATTATCCTTTGAGTTCTATTTTTTTAGTTGGTTTCTATTTTCAAGTGTTGTAAAAGGGCTTAATGAGTAATTTGCAACTAACGTAGGAGAAGGTTTGAGGGGGTGTACTTTTAGCAAAACTTGAATCAACCATGCTTATGTACTGTTAATCTTTTTTTTTTTTTTTTTTTTGCGGTACGCGGGCCTCTCACCCTTGTGGCCTCTCCCGCTGCGGAGCACAGGCTCCGGACGCGCAGGCTCAGCGGCCATGGCTCACGGGCCCAGCCGCTCCGCGGCATGTGGGATCCTCCCGGACCGGGGCACGAACCTGTGTCCTCTGCATCGGCAGGCGGACTCTCAACCACTGCGCCACCAAGGAAGCCCTGTACTGTTAATCTTTAAGAGTTTAATGAACACATAATAATTAAACAAAAATTATTTAACTAATGTTTCCATTAGGTCCTCAAAGAAAATGTATTACCAGGCACCTAACCTGAGTGAGTTTTAAAGCCACAAATATTATATATTCTATGTTCTTTGAGAAAGATAAATTGCAGTATATAAACTAATTTTCTGTTGCTCTACAGAACACACTCTTGATGATTTCATGATGTATGAGACAAAAGAAAAGGTAGAACAGTGCACAGGCCCAAACAGAGGAGAGAGTGGGATGAGCTCTAATTTCCAAAACAAAGTAATATTTGTGTGCTTAGTCATATATACACTTCAAACACTCCCCACAAAAAAAAAGCAATGAAAAACATAATCCAGTATTTGTAAATGCCTAGGTAGACTATGCTCCCTACAATGTAACAGGCAACTTCTTGTCAAAGAAGCGAAGCTGGAGTTTCCAGGGTGATTACAGAGCAAAGACAGACCTGTCAACATGCTGTCTCCTAGTTTATAAAATCAGCCTTCCTGAAACTAACAGACAGTGATGAACTGCCTAGTGATTTAGCCAAAGAACCTCCCCTGAATCTCATAATAAATCTACAGTGAAATTAAAAGGGCAAAATGAAAAAGGTAGTTAGGGTCTTTCAGTTAGACTTGGGAGATTGAACCTCTCTCCTCTTGAACACTCCCTGAAGTGAGAGTAAAAAGAATAAAAATGGAAGAAATCCATGGGGCAGAAAGGATTGGAGAGAAGATTAGGCAAATTTGCACATCTCTCAAAGATGGAAAGTAGATGGCAAGGGGTAACTATCTTAGGTTTCCTCTTTCTCCACTCTGCTAAATGTTTTTCCATTCTGCCAGCAGGGAGGGACGCCAACAAGAAGCAAGCCAATTCACACCGGGGAACCCTTAAAAGGCATAAGAATTGACGGCACCAGATATATTTGATGTCAAGGGTGTGAGGAGCTAGAAACAGCAGAAATGACTGAAAGCCTGGAGAAAGAGTAACAAGACCTCCCAGATCCTCTGTCCCATGCAGTGTACTGAAGATTGAAAATCAAGGTCTGGAGGGAATAAATGAGTAAGTCTCTAGTCTTGGGGATATCAGATATAGCTAAAGTAAAACAGTTATTGAAAATAATGGGATTTAATAAAATTCTACATGCTGAAGAACATGACCTTTGCCAGGCCCTTCCCTGACTAAGCTCTCAATTCTGACTGAGGCAGGAGATTAGACGGTCCCTTTTTGGGGAAATTGACAGCCTCAAGAGGAAAACACCTACAGATATACTAATATTTGAAGGTTTCTCAATGAAATGGCAAGGCCTCTGCCTAATGTGCCAAGTGTCTCCCACTTACGCGTACATACACACACACACACACACACACACACACTCACACTCACACTCACAGACACAGGTTCTAGGAGGCTTTTTTTTTTTTTTTTTTTGTGGTACGCGGGCCTCTCACTGTTGTGGCCTCTCCCGTTGCGGAGCACAGGCTCCGGACGCGCAGGCTTAGCGGCCATGGCTTACGGGCCCAGCCGCTCTGTGGCATGTGGGATCTTCCCGGACTGGGGCACGAACCTGTGTCCCTTGCATAGGTAGGCGGACTCTCAACCACTGCGCTACCAGGGAAGCCCTCTAGGAGGCTTTTTTTGGACTAACGTATAACTATGAATATTGTCAAAGATCACCAAACACTCTAACATAAAAGATAGAGACCAAAACAAACCATCATAAAGAACTCAGAGGAAATAGCCATACTGCAAGGAGCAGAAAAAAACTGCAAAAAATGAACCTATAACATCCCCAGAAATAAATAAATCTACTAGATACTTGAAACAAAATCAGAATGCTATTACAGATGAATATTCAGAAAATAAAATAGAGCTTTTGGAAATTCAAGATGTAACAGAAATAAAAGTTTCAGAAGGACTGGCGCATTAAAATGAGCAAATCTATGCTGAAAGTATAACCAAACGATGAAGATTGTAACAGAAGAAAGAAGATAAGAAAACTAAAGGATCAATCCAAAAGGTCCAACACATGACTAACAGACATTTTAAATGGGTACAGAGACAGAGAAACAGAGAAAATAAAGAGAAGGAAATTATCTGAGAAATAATTCAACGTAATTTTCTAGGAAAAAAGGACATGAGTACATGAGTTTCAATACAGATGAGGGCCATTATGTCCTCTGCACAATAAATGAACAAAGCACAACACTTT